GAAATCATATTATTTGGTTTCATAGTGCGGTAAGAAGTTGCCGTTGCCTGACGGCCCCTCTCTGGGGGCACCTTTGGAAACAGTTTCATCTCGCTCACACCACTTGTGTTTACTGCCTAGTCAGGTGACGTTATCGGCACTATTTTAGCAGGGCTTTCCCGAACAATTCAAGTGGTCAAACTGGACATTTGGAACGGACTATGAATATGGGGATAGCGAGGTAACATAAGTGGAAGTGCATACAATACATACATTCATTAAAAAAAAAAACGCCTTTTCACGTGATGTCCCTTTAAGTATTTCTGCAAAATAAAGTGGTTCAAAGGGAAGTTGACGAACGCTGAATGACAGAAGCAACGCCATGTCATTATCTCACTAGCCCTTCGGGCAGATGAGCTAAAAATGCATCCTGAAGCTGGCGACATTATTGGGAAGATGTTATTATTCCACAGCAACAGTTGACATAGCATACCTGATTGCTCAACATAAACAACAAACATAATGATATTTTACCAATTAAATTTATTGATGTATTATTTCCTTTTTTCTTCATAAGTTTTTGTATGTTTTATTTGATATAAAATGAGCATTTTAATGAGAAACAAAGCTGATCGCTGAATATAATGCCATTACCTTGTGTTGTCTACTATATAAACAGTTTTTCACTTGTTAGATCCACAGCCTTATGGTCACTAACCCGCCCCGGGCCTCTGTGACATTTCACAAAAACATATAGGTTTGGCACACTGGTGTAATTGATTTGTTACTACATATCTGTAATGCTTCATGTATGGAGCACTACACACTTGTGTAACAAAACACACATATGTAACATTACACACATGTTTAACACAACACACTTGTGTAACAAAACACATATATGTAACATTACACACATGTATAACACAACACACTTGTGTAACAAAACATATATGTCACATTACACATATATTACACTACACACTTGTGTAACAAAACACATATATGTAACATTACACACATATATTACACTACACACTTGTTTAACAAAACACATATGTAACACTACATATTACACTACACACTTGTTTAACAAAACACATATGTCACATTACACACATGTATTTCACTTCACACTTGTGTACATGTATAACACAACACTCTTGTGTAACAAAACACGCATGTATTACACTTCACACTTGTGTAATGAAACACAAATATATAACATTGCACACATGTTTAACACAACACCCTTGTGTAACAAAACACCTATATGTAACATTACACATTACACTACACACTTGTTTAACAAAACACATATATGTCACACACATGTTTAACACAACACACTTGAGTAACAAAACATATATGTCAGATTACACATATATTACACTCCACACTTGTGTAACAAAACGCATATGTAACATTACACACGTGTATAACACAACACACTTTTGTAACAAAACATATGTAACATTATACACATTTATTACACTTCACACTTGTGTAACATTACACATACATTACACTACACACTTGTTTAACAAAACACATATATGCAACATTACACACATGTATAACCCAACACACTTGTGTAACAACCCACATATATGTAACATTACCCACATGTATAACACAACCCACTTGTGTAACAAAACATATGTGACATTACCCATATATTACATTACACACTTGTGTAACAACCCACATATATGTAACATAGCACACATGTATTTCACTACACACTTGTGTAATAAAACACATATGTTACATTACACACATGAATAACACAACACACTTGGGTAACAAAACACATATATCTAACATTTCACAAATGTTTAACACTTCACACTTGGGTACCAAAACACATATGTAACATGACACACATGTATAACACAACCCACTTGTGTAACAAAACACGCATGTATTACACTTCACACTTGTGTAACATTACACATATATTACAGTACACACTTGTGTAACAAAACAAATATGTGTAACATTTCACACATGTATAAAACAACACACTTGTGTAACAACCCACATATATGTAACATAGCACACATGTATTTCACTTCACACTTGTGTACATGTATAACACAACACCCTTGTGTAACAAAACATATGTGACATTACCCATATATTACATTACACACTTGTGTAACAACCCACATATATGTAACATAACACACGTGTATAACACTACACACTGGTGTAACAAAACACATAAATGTAACATTTCACACAGGTTTAACACTTCACACTTGGGTACCAAAACACATATGTAACACTACTCACATGTTGAACACAACACACTTGTGCAACAAAACACATATATGCAACATTACACACATGTAAAACACAACACACTGGTGTAACAAAACACATATATTTAACATTTCACACATGTATAAAACAACACACTTGTGTAATAAAACAAATATATGTAACATTGCACACATGTTTAACACAACACACTTGTCTAACAAAACACATATATGTCACATTTCACACATGTATAACACAAAACACTTGTGTAACAAAACAAATATGTGTAACATTTCACACATGTTTAACACAACACACTTGTGAAACAAAACACATATATGTCACATTACACATATATTACAGTACACACTTGTGTAACAAACCACGCATGTATTACACTTCACACTTGTGTACCAAAACACATATGTAACATGACACACATGTATAACACTTCACACTTGTGTACCAAAACACATATGTAACATTACTCACATGTATAACACTACACACTGGTGTAACAAAACACATAGGTCACATTACACACATGTATTACACTACACACTTGTTTAACAAAACACATATATTTAACATTTCACACATGTTTAACGCTTCACACTTGTGTAACATTACACATACATTACACTACACACTTGTGGAACAAAACACGCATGTATTACACTTCACACTTGTGTACCAAAACACATATGTAACATTACCCACATGTATAACACAACCCACTTGTGTAACAAAACACCTATATGTAACATTACACATTACACTACACACTTGTTTAACAAAACACATATATGCAACATTACACACATGTAAAACACAACACACTGGTGTAACAAAACACATATATGCAACATTACACACATGTATAACCCAACACACTTGTGTAACAACCCACATATATGTAACATAACACACGTGTATAACACTACACACTTGTGTAATAAAACAAATATATGTAACATTGCACACATGTTTAACACAACACCCTTGTGTAACAAAACACGCATGTATTACACTTCACACTTGTGTACATGTATAACACAACACCCTTGTGTAACAAAACATATGTAACATTACACATATATAACACAACATGTTTAACACAACACCCTTGTGTAACAAAACATATGTAACATTAAACACATGTCTTACACAACACAATTGTGTAACAAAACATATGTAACATTACATATTACACTACACACTTGTTTAACAAAACACATATATATAACATTACACACATGTTTTACACAACACAATTGTGTAACAAAACATATGTAACATTAAACACATGTATAACACAAAACACTTGTGTAACAAAACGCATATGTAACATTACACATTACACTACACACTTGTGTAACAAAACATATGTAACATTATACACATGTATTACACTTCACACTTGTGTAATAAAACACATATATATAACATTGCACACATGTATTACACTTCACACTTGTGTAATAAAACACATATATGTAACATTACACACATGTATTACACTACAAATATGAAACCTGTCATCAGATTGTACATGCAGTGCACTCTTCCATATAAATACTGGGATAGGAAGTGATACTGTAAAACTGTATGACCATAACCCTCACAAACCAAAGATATACCACTTCTACTAATCACTTTATCTCCAAAACAGAAATGCCCAAATTAGTTCCACAATAAAAAACTTTTACGTTATAGTTCAATAAAGGATATACTGTAAGATCAAATCGCCAAGATATTACTCCAAGACTAGGATAATTTAGTTTCTCCTAATATCACAGCAAACCTGGACTTAAACCCATGTGAACTATTACTGTTCTTAAAGAGCATAGAGATAGATGTAGTTACGTTATCTACACACAATTTACCCTGTAATGGCGTAGGTCAGAGAGAGGGTGTTCGGTAGCCAAGTAAGGAACACTCTAGTGTTAAAACGGAGATTTTGCATAACACCTCTGGACAAAGAAAGCTTGAAGCAGGGACTTGGTATTGCTGTGTTCTAAAGCTACCTATGTTTCTTGATGCTTTTCAATAGTAGTCGTAGACTAATGGTATGACGTCGACAAAGGATAAGAAACAATAATCATATTTTTGTCAATTTAGTGACAAATCTCTTGAGATTCAATGATTGTGACCAATGTGTTAATGGTGATGACACTGATGTTATATGGGAGGCAGTAACCAGTAGAGGCGAAAAGTCGTGACAAGTGGCTTCATGGAATTACAGAATGTTACATTGACTGAAGTGCTCATACTACCAGTACTGTCCCAGAAAAGGGGGGCCTATTCTGTAAAATACAACTCATCACTGCACAATAAATATTGTAACATAATAACATTGCAAATCAAATAGAAACACTCGTCGTTGGATTTCATAGCAGAATAATCTCAAGAAAAAATATCTTGATAAATTGAACGCCTAAAAAAATATAAATAACGCATGACAGCTGAAAGATAGTTCTGTTATCATATAAAAACTCATTGCCTTCGTGTAACCAACTCATTGTGGTGATCTATCGTTGTGTTCTTTAACACTGCTGGCAGTTCTTTGTGTACCAGTCTGGAAATCTGGATGTGATGTGACACCTGACTCGACACATACCAACACTATATATAAACTAGCTTATTCCGTCTTTTCGTATTGCTGAGTTATCTGCTCTTGTGAGCAGGTATTGATTGTTACGTCATTAATTTGTGTGCGAAAATTACATCGTTTTCTCAAAAATTGATGACGTTGCTCTCACAAACAAATGACGCAACAATCAATACCTGCTCACAAGAGCAGATAACTCTGCAATACGAAAAGACGGAATATCAATGGTACATTTGTATCACAAAATCTTAATACTAGCGTAACTAGCTGTTCAAATGTGTGGAAGACAACAATACACATTTTACTTCAAGGCACATGTCTGAAATTGTCTGCACTTCAACTCCGGGATTCTTAAGGAACCAGGTGAATTTGAAATATGGTGGCATTTGAAACATGGCTATTTTATCTCCAATTCTGAAGTAAAAAAATCTTAATAAGCATTGTAAAACTATAACATTACATCTTCATGTAGACAACATTGTCTAGTACTGCTGTGAGTCAGGAAATATAATGACCGAAGCACAATTCAGAATGGCAAAAAATATATCAATGTTACTGTACTGGAAGACCTGTAGAGCATGGGAAAATGATGCTATAATTGCATGATTAAGATCTAGTCAAGAGACATGGATCACATGATCTGTCATTTGTCATATTGCTTTTGTTAAAGGAGCTAGTAGAGTCCTTAACAGCCCTAAACATACTACTGTAAAAACAGGTACGTGTACCTGTAAGTGACAAGAAAATTGGCTCTCCCTTTTCAAATGGGTGTAAAATTGACAGAAAACCTGTCTTAACTAGAGAGGACTTCCAATGCACAAACAGGAAGACTACCAAGTAATTATGTAGAGCATTTCCCTTGGGAGAGGAGTCTGACTGATGCACAGGAAGCCCCACAAAGTTTGTGAGAACCTGTCGACTCCAGCCCACTTCCACTAATTTAAGTCTGCTGAGGAAAGTAGACTCCAGCCCACTTCCACTCATCTAAGTCTGCTGAGGAAAGTAACATGTTCTTTACAGTATGATCTTTTAAATTCTACCAAATTTTTGAAATGCTGGCATTGACAAGAAATTAAAAAAATGTCAAATGACAGAGATGTAAACTGAATTTTTCCAAGAAACAAAATGATTCTTCACATTAACCTGCATAATCATATTTTTAAGATTGATTTTAGGTCCATGTTGTCAACTTAACTCAAACAACTCTAGCATTCAGGAAAGAACATGGAAATATAACATGGTATACAGGTTATTATGGGCCTATTGAAGTATGGACTGATCAATTGTGTCCCACATGGAATGACTAAAAACATAAATTAACACATCCAACAATTGCACATTCCAGTCAATGTTAAAAGGACTAAGCCCTAAAACCTATTTTATCATAAAATATGTGATTATCTCCCTTTAATTGGGTCCCAGTTAGACTGGATAAAAGCTTTATCCATCAAGGGTTGGTTCTAATCTGCAAGAAAGAAATGAGTTAGTGACTCACATGTGTCCTTTGTACCTCAAAGAGATAGACATGCACGGCATGTATTAAAGATACATATTGATCATGTGCAGCAGCAACAAAACCATTTTTTAAAATACTGACAATTTTGTCATGTCATATAAAAATAATGTAAAAAAATGTTTTTCATTGTTAGATGGTGTAAAATATCAGTGCAATATGACTTTCTGTTCAGACATTGCACATAAAACAGCTTCAAATACCTTTCTCGGATACATCTGAAACGCCTTGTTTAACTTCTTACTGGTAAGTCATAATTAAGAATACCCAAATTATCTAGAAAGTTTTAACCTAATGGACCAAAAGATTCTTTTCAGTCACTCTGCAAATAATGATTTTAGTGATGTCTCCCATAACTGTTTTATCTCTGACAAAAAGCACTAACTTAGCACTGGTCCCCGCCACCCTTACATTGCTAAAATAAAAATATGTTATTCCCGGTGATACAGATTCTCCAAAATATCCCATTCTGCACCAATATGGACTAGCGCAGTTTTTTTTATCTTATATTGTGAAATAGCTTAACTGACCACATCATGTTATGGAAAAATATAGAAACGAAAATATCAGAGCATGAAAATTGCACAAAAACACAGAAAGCAGCCCGATTATCACATTACAGAAGGCTAAGGAATGTCAGGCGAGAGCAGCTCACCTTGTTAACATGTACAACACATAGATACTGGCACATCAAAACACGTCTTCATCAAACAAAAATAATGCATTGCTTTTGTTCATTGTTTGTATTATGACAAGTGGGACTTGAGTATTCTTCTCTCTGTCTATGACCCTGTAAACGTGACAGCTGTTTATCAGCTGCTGATCAAAGTCAACCACAAATCTATAGTCCACCCTGTTTCCGAGGGTATCTAGAGCGTATCCACCGAGAATCAAGCAGATCCACAGCATATACACCGAGTATCCACAGGCTATCTACTGAGTATCTCCACAGGGTATCCAACGAGTATCTGAAGACTTTCCCCTGAAAATCCCCTGGTTATCCATATGGTATCTACTGAGTATCCACAGGGTATCTGAGGGTATCTGAGGGTATCCACCGAATATCTGAGGGAATCTGAACAGTTTCAAGTGGGATCCCCTCGATATCCACATGGTATCTAGTGAGAACTTATCCATGGGGTCAGAGAAGCTTCAGCTCTTGTAGGTCAGTAACCATGAACAAAGCTGCTTGTTGATGCTGTACAAACATCTGTATTTGGCACAAATGGCTCTAGGTCAGGTAACACTAAGCACAAGCTGACTGCTATGAATATTGGGAAAGCTCAGCAGAGGCTCCCCATGTCTGTGTATCCTACCAGCAGACACTGGTTAGGGACGACCTTGAGCTGGGAATGTCAAGGTCAATCTTTCTCATGGTCACTGGATTATCACAGTTATGGCGACTTGTCCAAGTCCAAGCATGAGTGCCTTCAGTCGAACGACATCAGGTTTGTCGGGGTCTGTAAATGCATGAAAGTATTATAAATAAAAAGTTCAAAAATTTAGAATATTTCAAAATAAGCTTTCAATACTAAAGTACTACATATTTACGAAATGCTCAATGCGTACATTAACAAACTGTTTTGGAAACATATCTTTGACAATTTGATGAAAAAAGTCTTGAATAATATAAATTGCTAGTGATTCTACGACTTGGTAAGCAACCAAGTTAGATTGAGTCATCGAGGACTAACCTTCGGTTGGAAGCGCTTTGTGGCCTCGCTGAGATGTCGACACCATGTTAACGCCATGGCTTGGCTGCCTCCCCGGAACTTGTACACATTACCTGTAATACAACACGACATTTGTTCACTCTGTAATCTAGTACATCACTGAATGGCAAAAAATATACAACTAGCATTGACGGACTTTTATTATACAATAGCTACTAGACAAGAAATAGCTACAAGACATGGGAACACGTTTTCTATATTTTTACTACTGCAGTATAATATTAGAGCAGTTATTTTTCTCTTTGATTTAAATATAACATAAACGAGACTGAAATTCTGTCAAATTCAAAATGAGATTTAGAAAGTTTTTCGCACTTTGATTAAACAAATTCTTCATCAACTTTTTTTATTCGTTGACAATCATTTCTGTCAAAACATCAAATTTTATTTCCTCATTTTCTTTATTTTTTTATTATAATGACTTTACTACAAAAGGGCATTCACATTAAGTAAACAGTGAATATTTGTGTGTGAATTCTTTCATGTACGAGTTATTACAAAGATGTGTGTCTTTCCTTCAATTTACTGCATATGTAGGCAATTTTTAACCCTTTCACCACTGTAGACCATAATGGGCTCATCCATATCAATGCATGGAAGAGTCTACTTAAGTTACATAGGGGTGAAAGGGTTAAACAAAACAGCAAGTTCACTTAATTAGTTCCCAAGATATAATCAATGCAAGCTTGTGTCTAAGGTAGCTAAAATGCCCCGATATTTCCCCCAGACAGACGTGAAGAGCAGAACGGCTGCCTACCTTTCATTGGATCTGTTAACTGGAATGCATCTGGTTGTAGTGGATTATCTCCCATTACCACCATCCAGCCAACAACTGATGTCATTTTACTGGGGTTGGTTTTAAACTGAAAAAGAACCAAATAGGAAATGAAAGAAGCCGCCTATTGATTTGTTTACACATATGGCATAAAAAATCATAGAGAGGGTAAAAATATCCTTCGCCATAAATGTACTGTTAATATTTACAGGTTTGAGTAGGAAAAGCTGGAGAATTAAACAATTATAATAAAATTCAAACAGCTTTAAGAAAAGGTTAGTTTAACCATATTTTTATTGCAAACTATACAATATGGATTGGAGTCATCAAAGTCCTCTCCATGGAGGTTTTAAACGCAATGCAATAGACTCAAAGTTCTTGATATTGATTTAAAACTTGCACAAACAATATTTTACATTACAACATTACCCTAGTTTCTTGAACATCTGTTATCAAAACATTAAAAGTAAACACAGTGTATGTGTTGGAGGGTATTACTTACAGACTGACGGTCACCGCCCCGTAGAGACTTGGCTGGATAATAGAGTAGCGACGTGCCCCATAGGGCCACCCAATACCTTGTCCATGACGTCACCTATACAAGTACACATGTCACACATTATCTCTAAGTGGTAGTTATCTATTTCACCTAAACATCACTTCTGATTTGATTTGACAATTAATACTGCTTACTTTTTATTATTCTTTTATCAATTAACTTCTTTTTAGGTATTCCTAAGTTAAAGTAAGACTTTATTGACAATTTTTATAAACTGAAAGTTATCTCCCCTAGACCATTACTCACAGTGGGTTTCTTTCCCTCCTTGAGAATTGTTTTCCTCCGTAAGCACCCCTCACAAGTAAAGCTCTGTTGGAAATTTTCGCGGATGTCGTCCGACTCCCTCCATGTCATACTGTAACAGAGAGAGTATCAGGTCAGTCATGGCTGCTCTGTAGACATCTACATATATTTTCTTTTATCATATTACCGTTTGTGTTACAACTTTTTTTTTTTTTAGTTTTCTTGTGATTACCATTGTTGTCCTTATTCTAGTCTACTGACGATGTGCCAATCTTTACTTACTGGTTTCGAGCCGGCCAGAACATCTCCGGTTGATCCACAGAGTTTGTGTCAAATACCTCTGATCCTTCAGCTATACACAAAATGCAATTTCATTAAAATATGTCCAGGTAGAAAAAACATGCTTTAATTTGCTGTGTTCCAATTTCTATTTAACAGAGAGTTATAAATTAGATAGCTACTTTTCTATTGAAAATCTTTAAGGTGTGTTTATCAATCTTCATATGAAAACATATTAAATACATATCATAGTCTTCTCAATCTGTTAACTTCATTTGCTGATTTAATTGGTTTGTTTAGACCAGCTTATATAAGCATAAGCAAGGGATCAAAAATTACAAAAAAAATCCATATGTAAAACTGCAATGCATTTAAAAGCAACACAGAGTATATTATATATAAACAACAACAAAAAGCAAATGCAAAATAAATCTTCAGCATACAAGTTTAACCATGAGAAGTCACCAACACTATCTACATTAATGTACACTATGAACTCTTTTCATATTCAGAACTTTGTATGGTAAACATTTCTGCCGTATTAACTTTGAACCTAATACCCAGTCCTTATTCCTGTTCTCATGGTGACAGAGGTTTAGTTGTGAAATAGGATGGAGAACAGATCACGAAGTATGTACTATGCAGCTGTCATTAACATAAATATGTATGGTGTGCAAGCATTTTCTTCAGCAGTGCAACATATCTAAATAAGTTTATTGTTTGGAACAGTAATACCATTATATGTATGATACAAAAGCCTCTTTTATTAACTCGGGAATGTTTTGACAATGCACGACAATCATCAATCTGTAATGGGATGCATGTGGGAGTAAAATCAGCAACTGTTTTGAAAAGCCAGGAAGATTGCCAAAGAATGGAAGAGCTTGAGGATAAAAAATCAGCTGTTTCGATATATAAAAAGAGAAACAGCCAATTCCATGCATCATTTTTTAAATAGGTAGTTGAGCAGTGTTTCAGAGATGGGGGGGGGGGGGGGGGGATATTGAAGTAAATATGGGATGTGGGATACTGATTTCGGAAATATATGAGAGTATAGTTGTCAGGGCAGGATTCATTGTACTTTAATCTGAGAACATGCTTGTTTTAGAGTTGTTTTATGCCATACATAATTTCTTACGTTTGATGATATCTCTGCAATGTACTGAAAACGGAATTCAGAGTGTGGTCATATAACATAAACACTCCCAAACTGACCTTTAATGATCATGTCAAGAAAATGACCAAAAAATCACTAGATCAGTTTTTGCAGTAATATTGACTGCAAAAACTACTGAAACAAGTAGTAATTGTAATGGGGACCATTACAGAAGTCCCCCAAACTACCCCAAAGATGCATCAGAAAAGGATCGTAATGCCATAAAACATCTACATACTATTTGAGTGAAATCGAACAATATCTGAATTTCGCCCAATCCGAAGCCTCCATGTGGTTGGTATGTCAACGAAACCTATGCAGTCCCCTAATACCCCTAAGTACCAATTTTTATAAAAATCTAACAATATCTAAATTTCCACCAATCAGAAGCCTCTGTGTTGTTGCTATATGATTGGTATGGCAACGAAACCTATGCGGTTGAATCAGCAGTCCCCCAATACCCCTATATACCAATTTTCATAAAAATCAAACAATATCTAAATTTTGACCAATCAGAAGCCGCTCTGTGGTTGCTTTGTTGCGAGTCGTGAGGGCTGATATGTAAAGCAAGCATGTGCACGTACTGGTAGTGGTGGAGAACTTGCCACATATAGATCCATCGCTGGATGCACAGGGCGACTCCTCCAGCACGCTGTCGTCCAGCAGGTGGCGGATCCCCTGGATGTACGGTGCTGTTGTCTTGGATGGCAGACTGAAGGTTTTCTCTGCTGACTGTTTCTGCTGCCCATTGCTCATGAAACTGAGGTAAAAAAATCCTTGTGAGTTGAGTCAAACAATAGATCTTACTATTAATATATCTTACTATTACTACAGAGGTCGGTCGGGCACATCTGATATACAAATTGTCAGCTTTGTGCAAACTGTGTTTAAATTTATCCAAATGATACTTATTCAAATTTATCTGGTAAAATGGTGTTGTCAATGGATATAATAGTAATCTTCCTTAATAGATCCAAACTTAACATAGTGTTAGTGTTTCAGTGTGAGGATGTGGTCAGAGTACAGTTTAAAGATCAACAGATACTTACTTGGCACTTAAGCTTTTGGTCTTTCTGTGGCACTGGACTTGCTTTGTGGTAGAAACTGTGGCACTTGGAGTGAGATGGTTGCTGTGCCGAGGCTCTGTAGCTGGAGAAGGGGGTGCCACCATTATCTGAACATCTTCCTTGGATGTGGACAGGGTAGACATCGGTGGCTCCACTTTCAGGGAAAGTCTTAAAAGAGAGTCCACAGTCAATAAATAGTTTGTATTAAGTGAAAATAAACTTGACATCAGATGTGTTTTACAGAAAGTAACAACCACATAAAGCAACAAGGATATTCTTGTATGTACTGTTCCCCATCTCAAACGAGTGAAGAGGACACTGATAGTACTGACCTCCAATATGAAATGTATGAGTTAATTTACTATTTCATGGACAGGGACATTGCAGTTGATAGGGACTGCCTTTTACTTACTTGTAGTTGTCATCCTCCACAAACTTCTGCAGCTCCTCAATGTACCTCACTGACCGCAGGTAGTTTTGGACATGATCCAGAACAGGTAAGTGGTCTGAAAAGGTAAGAAAAAACTTATCAAAGGTCTTGATTCAGGATTCTTTCAACTGAACTTGAAAAGACATTACTCATATAAGACATCACATAAACCCAACTTCAAGAATCACACTGACCTTCAACAGATATTATAGTGAGCTTCATCAGGTATTACACTGACCTTTATCAGGTATTCCACTGGCCTTTATCATGTATTCCACTGGCCTTTATTAGGTATTACACTGGCCTTTATCATGTATTACACTGACCTTTTCATGTATTACACTGGCTCTTTTAGGTATTTCACTGACCTTTATCAGGTAATACACTGACCTTTACCATGTATTACACTGGCCTTTATCAGGTATTACACTGACCTTTATCAGGTAATACACTGACCTTTATCAGGTATTACACTGACCTTTATCAGGTAATACACTGGCCTTTATCAGGTATTACACTGGCCTTTATCAGGTATTACATTGGCCTTTACCATGTATTACATCGATTTTTACCAAACTTATTATATTTCTGATCGAAATAGGACTAGGATTGTGACCTACATATTTCCATGCGTTTGTTTTTCTATTATATACACTTGCTATTGTTTTGAAATTCCATAGCATAAGTAATGTGTATGGCCAGACTTACCGTAGGATGACTGCTGGAGATCAGCGATCACACGCAGGATGTTGTTCATCTGGATGCGGCGTGGGTGACTCTCCAGGCCACCCGAGTGGGGGTGGGCCACATCAATATAGATCAGGTCTGTCAGGTACAGGCCTACAATATCAATCACATCTAATGATACTCAAAACTCTTTGTCATTCATACAACATTCTTCAGATATCAAACTTCTGTATTATCACTACAGCTACAGACCAGTGAGGTACAAACCTAGAAAACTATCTGATATTGTGTATTGATACTCAACAACTTTTTCACCTTTGTACTCACTACAGCTACAGATCAGTGAGGTACAAACCTAGAACACCTATCTGATAGTGTGTATTAATACTCAATAACCTTTTCACCTTTGTACTCACTACAGCTACAGATCAGTGAGGTACAAACCTAGAACACCTATCTGATAGTGTGTATTGATACTCAATAATCTTTTCACCTTTGTACTCACTACAGCTACAGATCAGTGAGGTACAAACCTAGAACACCTATCTGATAGTGTGTATTGAGTCTTTTCTCATATGGCCTTCATCAGACACCACTATTCCATCAAGCAAATAATTTCAGATGTTATGTAAGTTATTTTGAAAGTATCTCTTCATAAGATTTAAAATCTGAACCACACTTTTTTAGACAAAATAAAGTTGATATTTTGTTGTGATTTTTAAGCTCAAAAGATACAGACATTGTTTTCTTGAAAAAAGTGAATCCAATGTAAAATCACTGATTTTCTTGTTGAAAATGTCAACAGAGAAACAAATGAAAATTGGAACACAATGAAATTGTTCACTTCAATCAAATATTTATTCCAGGGTTTGTACTTTTGATTGTTTGTAATCAGAAAATGCCATAACTGCGTTTGCATTCGCTAAAGAATAATCAATATCACTTCATCAAAAGCACACGCTTCTGACAAGTTGTGGCGAAGCACAGCCTCCACCAGTACAAGTTATGTAATACACATGTTGTATTAACACGATCAACTGATAAAAACATCCTCAAACAACCTGGCTCTAACGCGTGTTCGATTATGGAAACTGCCTGGGATATTATACATAGAGCCTTTAGCAGCATGCTAAACTGATCGAGTGTGATTACCCTCACTTCATAGCACAGCCTTGTGGTGGTGAGAAACAACCAGGTACACCCTAATATAGATATACAGTGGAGCCTGTCTAAACTGACTCAATCCAATCCAGAAATGATAGACTACCAGGTACATCCTAATATAGATATACAGTGGAGCCTGTCTTAACTGACTCAATCCAATCCAGAAATGATAGACTACCAGGTACACCCTAATATAGATATACAGTGGAGCCTGTCTTAACTAAACCCCAGCCAGAACTACACGACACTTGGTTGTACCCACCTAAGTAAGGAACACAGGGGTGTTTCACATTGTCCATGTAGTCTCGTAACTTCTGTCGGTTACTGTTCTCAGAAAACAGATCTGCGATCTTCTCATACGTAGATTTGTCTCGCCTAGACAACATCTGGAAAACAATACGTTTTTATTAATTCAGAGTATTTACTTGGTATATCACTACAAGGATAGGAAAGCGGTACCTCAAAACTTCTACAATTACAGACATTACTGATATAACAAACTGTTTTATATAGTACAGAAGGAGTAAGCTACAGAAATCTGGTACCTGTCATACACTATACAAAACTTGCACCTTAAAAACAAGACTGCACTCAATTTACTTTGAGGCGAGTTAAAAAGAGAACTCAATAACACGCTAACTTCTCTTGGTAGAGAATGGTAGTGTAATTCTAGATCAGAAGTAAATGTAATTAACCAGGAGAGATAGTTGAGGATTTGATGTCGGTTTCAGACATTCAGTGTGTCTTCTATCTAGTGACCAATTATCAACCAAATGGAAGCCTAGCAGAAATACAATCCACCATGATTCACGGATTGTGATTATAAATCTGTCTGGCTATAACATTTCCTCGTAAAGAAACCTACTGATTAAACTTTGGATTCTAATATAGTTAAACCTGACACCACTATATAGAAAACCTGTGTATACAGATATGTATATATAGAATACCTGTATATACAGATATCTGTCTATAGAATACCTGTGTTCACTGATACCTGTATAAAGAATACCTATGTATACCAACACCTATATATATAGAATAGCTGTGTACACTGACACCTATATATAGATTACCTATGTACACGGACACATTTATATAGATTACCTGTTTACACTGACACCTATATATATATATATTACCTGTTTACACTGACACCTATATTTAGATTACCTGTGTACACTGACTCCTTTATATAGATTTCCTGTTTACACTGACACCTTTATATAGATTGCCTGTATACACTGATACCTATATATAGATTGCCTGTGTATACTGCCACCTATATATAGATTACCTGTGTACACTGACACCATTATATAGATTACCTGTTTACACTGACTCCTTTATATAGATTACCTGTATACACTGATACCTATATATAGATTGCCTGTGTATACTGACACCTAGATATAGATTGCCTGTGTACACTGACACCTATATATAGATTACCTGTGTACACTGACACCTATTATATTTAGATTACCTACATGTACACTGACACCTATATATAGAGAGAGATTACCTGTGTACACTGACACCTTTATACAGATTACCTGTTTACACTGACACCTTTATATAGATTACCTGTTTACACTGACACCTATATATATATATATTACCTGTGTAGACAGACACCTATATATAGATTACCTGTGTACACTGACACCTATTATATATAGATTACCTACATGTACACTGACACCTATATATAGAGAGAGATTACCTGTGTACACTGACACCTATATATATATATAGATTACCTGTGTATACAGGTGGAATTTCTGGCTTATATGATGCAAAAAAACAAAAACTGAGGCAATGACGGAATGTTTCTGTGATGCTTTGTGGTTTTCTTTAAGAATTGTTGTCCAGCACTGTATATTTTGTGAAACACATCAAATCCTCACCGCAACCAATATATGTACGATGATGAGGACCAATCAAGTCATATGATATGATATCACTTACCATCCATGTCTTGGACAGCCGAAATATTGCTGCACTTTGTAGTGCTGACAGCACCGCCATCACTGCATGTAAATTATTTAAATCTAAAAGTTTCTGAAACATAAAAAACATGAGTTGACAACCTTGATATATATATATTGTGACAATTCCTTTCAGAAATATCGTTACTTTGAAGGCAATTTTTTGCCTTTTTTAACCAAAGCATTATTATATATAACCAAACATACAATCACTATTTCTGAAAAACGCAATATGTTAATTCATGAGGGAATGCGTAAACAAATCAAATGACAAATATTTTGCAGGTTTTGCTGTTGATAACAAAACAATTTGGCATTTGCATTGTTATAACAAACTTGGGAGAAAAAAAAAATACAAGAAAAATGAGTCTAATCTGGTTGTTTTTTTCCTGAGTTAAGACAGTATAAATTAAACTAATAACATTAATAAGCTTACCTTTGCTATTTTTATGTAATGGGCTAAAACATCTGACCTAGTTTTTAATGTCTGACAGGTTAGAATTTCACGTTGGACCCAGAAATTTACCTGTAATGAGAAAACAATACATAATGTCATCTATAGGTATATATGTACATTCAACAACTAATTATAACCACAGCTGGTAAGACTTAAACAGACCTAAAATACAGTATACAGTATAGAAGCTTTATATGATAACAATACAGCTGAATTTGTGAATCCCTCACATTACACAGCTTCCTGTCATACCAGGACTGGTGGTTTATTATAGTAAACACCTTATAATGTAGGCCAGTCTCTGGTTACAAACATTCCCCGTCTTCAATCAGTGTACAAACAAGCCATACATCACCCAACCCATTGGTCTTGTCCCCAGGACCAAGTATCTAGTTCACAGAAAAGTCGGTGACAATTCCAGGTCAATATTAAGATGTTATCATATAATGAGCAGTTCAATGCATTGGCTAAGATTGACGTTAACATTTACTGTGAAGTGTTATATAGGGTCAATATCAGGATGTTATCATTTACTGTGAAGTGTTATATAGGGTCAATATAAGGATGTTATCATTTACTGTGAAGTGTTATATAGGGTCAATATAAGGCTGTTATCATTTACTGTAAAGTGTTATATAGGGTCAATATAAGGATGTTATCATTTACTGTGAAGTGTTATATAGGGTCAATATAAGGATGTTATCATTTACTGTGCAGTACGTGTTATATTTGGTCCATCATATGTGCTAGTACTACACATCATTTTCATCAAACAATATGGCTGTAGATGTGTATGACAGAGTATTTTGTTGGTATAGATATAAACCTAGGGGCTAAGTGATGGGACATATGCTTTATAACTGATGTAACTTTAACAGCTGTTGGATATATAGTAAAAAGCTGGCAGTTTTATAGCCAACCACAGAAAAGGCCACCTACACTGATAAAGATTTATAGATACAGGCCTCCCCAATGGTGGACTGGTAGCTAGCTATATAGGTTACTCTTTATTTCTGTACAGGTAAACAAGCTATTTAATACGTTTTCATACATGACAAAAGGTGTTTTTCTTGTTTTCATATGAGATCTGCATTGTCTTTTAAACTAGAACTATCATCGTGAGGTAATTAATACACCAACATAACCCCTATTCTAAATAATTGCTTTCCGAGATGCCCGATTAAATCTAATGTCTGACAGGGTATAAAGAAAGAAAATATTGATGGTAATTAGGATGGCATGAAATTACATTTTAATTGTTTTTAATATGGAGGAGAATCTTCACTCATGTAAAATATTCAAACGCCATCACTATGTTATAAAATGTTGCTAACACCCACCTTGTACTGTACTGGAGTAGTAGACGGGACAAGGCTTTGTAAGTAACCAAGTCAAAACTCTCTCATCAATATCCAAGGAAACTACATGGAGGTCGATAACACATGCACCAGTTTAGTGACGGGTAAAATGTGTGCAATGTTTTCAATAAAATGGGTTCAGTAGTGAAGTAGTACAGACCAATAGTGTCTACAGAGCGACAACTTCAGTATAGACATCTATTCTACAGAGCGACAACTTCAGTATAGACATCTATGGTGTGGTGGTATCAGGACTTTGTATATAAACTTATCTAAATATAGGATGGTCTTTCATTCTCACATCAATAGTAACACTTACATGGTTAAATCTCCTTGTAAATCCAACAACATTAGGAGCCTTGATGAGTTTTTCTTTTGTAGTCCATGCACATGATGTTAATTCCTGAAAAGGAAAAAGAAAATAGTTCATTAAAGCTGACAGTGCAAGTTTAAAAGCTTTCAATTGAGATTTTTTTTTAATTTTTTTTTTTCTTGTTTTGAGAACTTCCCCATCTCTTCCGACTATCGTTTCTTAGGAATGGCAGACATTTTAGTTTGTCCTTGCTTGGTAATGAGTATGGGTCTCGCAGGGTATATAAAGCGCATTACCTGTCAAACCAGTTATCATTTGTTCAACGTGTGTGCAAGGTGACACTACTATACTATATAAATAGAACACTTTCACGATTTTGAACCAATATTTTTTAACAGATCAGTTGAATAAAATTGAAATGAAACACATCAAAGAATTCATTTATCTAAGAAAAGTGGAAAATAATAGTGAATTAGGACCAATTAAAATATATAATGCACAATCCCTGCCCCCCACAAAAAAAACCCACCCAAATAAACCACCCTGAAAGAGTCAAACCTACAACTAACGCTACTGCCTACCTTTTAGATATCCAACTAGTTATATATATATATATATAATTATAACCTTTGGAAGAGTGGTGCATGTGCATGGTTTGTGGGGAGATAAGACAAACAGATTCATGTATCATTGTCCAATAATTATTAACCAATGGAAAGTGCTGTTACAATGTTCCAATAAAGTAGTAATACTTACATCTGGCAGTATAGACTTGAACACAGGTAAATCCATCAATGTTATCTGGCTCTGAAAACAGCAACATTTCTCATTAGATTCTACGTTAGTTGGAGCTCTGACACGGAATAAAGGCATTCTCATTTAACCTCTACAGTTATTCTAAATCTGGACAAAAATGTTACCATTATCATCCTTTACCATGAACAAATAATTAAAAACAATCAGACATATAACAATCCTCTCTAACTTTGTTTTATTCATAACCATGATACTCAATTCACAAACAAAAACACTACACACTATATTCCTGGTACCCTTTAATTTGAGGTACACATTTATATCCATAATGACTGTTACATTCTTTATGTGACTATTTAATCATTATGTGAAAACCTCCAAGGAACTTCACAGGCGGACATTGACCTCTAATACTATAGGTAAGAAGTATCTTTATGGCCCTTTTTATTCTTATATTTTGTAGATCTCCATGTGTTTGATGGGATTTAAACAGTTTAGCTTTAACCTTGAACGCCGACAGAGAGCCAGCGGGATGGAGTAAACACATGTAAACCTCACAAGGATAGACTTGAGGGCTGCTCCAACCCTCAAAAACCAACAGATACTGTGCATGCAGGTCAAGTAATCAACTTCTAACGATATCTGTTTGTACCAACAACTTTGTTCATAACAGATTAAACCCCATTGCATGGTAAGCCATCTCTGTTTGTATCAAAACTGACCCACCCACCACCCCCACTCTCTGATATATGCACATACATTATATTATATATGCTGTACGGTTTGGTGCTCTCCCAGGCCGACCATTCAGCTAGAACCTATTAGGATTGCTCTGTAAAGATCTCGTAATTCAGGAATCTGCACCCAGTCATGTGTAAAGATATAAATTATAGGCAGCTGCATACACACGATAATAACATACAATTAGAATATGCATTATTGACAAATTTCCAACAAACACATCATCAAACCAATTTTTTTCCTTATACACCCTTGTTTACATGATACCAGCCCTCCCACGCACAGAGCAGGTATGGTAGAAGGACAGCAGACACAACAAGATCAGCTGGGCAAGCCTAGAGGACATGAGTCACATGGCGATGTAACAGGAGGGGGAGGGGGGTTGTACCAGGTAATACTTAGGGGGNGAGTTACCTACAAAGAGGTAAATCATTGATGTCTCTTGTCTTAACTTTTACATATATGTGTCATGTCCAAATTCTACACTCCAGTATAACTGCATGTTATTTCCAATAAACAACTGTGCATACTTCATGAATGATTTTATCATTGATATGTGTAGGTGGTAAGGTATGCAATACACAATTTAACTCTACAAACATTTTGTTGAGGACAGAATATGTATATAGGTGTACATGTCAGTTAACGACGCCCACATTGTACTCTGGCCACTATACATATCCCAGATAAAACGTTTCAGCACAGGCTTGGATTTCATACTTCTGAAGGTTTGAATTGCGACTACTATAGCTTTTAATCAAATGATCAATTCCTACTGTGTGAACACTTTGGTACTGTATTTACTTAGATAACTTTTGAAAGCTGATCATAACAAAGACGTTATCTTTCTAGGGCCATCTTTACAATATCTGTACACGGTAATGTATATTGCTTTAATGGTTTTCCTGTTGTATGTTGTGTAGGAAGTTTAGAACTCATTGCACTTACATGTACACTTTATACACAGTATACATGTAATACTAGTACTCCTACGTAAACGCTCCAGGTTTTATGCAGCATTACCTGTCTAGACCCAGTGACCATTCATATATATACAAAATACACGTCTATTCACAGCAGTATAAACATTATACGTCTATTCACAGCAGTATATAAACATCATACGTCTATTCACAGTAGTATAAACATTATACGTCTATTCACAGTAGTATAAACATTATACATCTATTCACAGTAGTATAAACATCATACGTCTATTCACAGCAGTATAAACATCATACGTCTATTCACAGCAGTATATAAACATCATACGTCTATTCACAGTAGTATAAACATTATACATCTATTCACAGTAGTATAAACATCATGCGTCTATTCACAGCAGTATAAACATCATACGCCTATTCACAGCAGCACAGCAGCATAAACATTATACGTCTATTCACAGCAGTATAAACATTATACGTCTATTCACAGCAGTATTAACATCATACGTCTATTCACAGCAGTATAAACATTATACGTCTATTCACAGCAGTATAAACATCATACGTCTATTCACAGCAGTATAAACATTGTGAAGTCATGATCAGCTAACAATACATCATACTCGTTAACTGATAAGTAATTTGATATATTTAATATTTTGCACTTTTTAAATACTCTTTTGAATAGAATCCTTACACCAACACCACACAGTCATATATATATGTATATGTTGTAATAAACTACAGTCTGTTATAACTTTCGGTTTGAGAGCAGAAAACCCGGCAGTTACGAACCATACGGTAACACCTTCAATCAAAGATAAAACACTGTTTCCGGACTTAAAATTCTTATCAAAATCATATTATACACAATGATATGTGATGGTGAATTTACGGTTACACTACTAATTATAATTTTACCAGTACTATGTTACAATACGACCTCTGTGAAGTAGTGATATGTGAACTATGGGTACTTGGTTATACACTGGTTATAACTCAGGTCATACATGTTAAGTCACTGTGTAATACAGTATATAGCGCACAGCCGCCAGCTGACTTTACTGAACTGATCTCGATAGATTTGTTCAATGGAGCCAGGATTCACCATCAAATCATTTACTCAACCATAAATAACAAGATTAGCTTGTAAATATTTAACAGGACACATAGGGCACATAACAGGTGTTCACTGAGTGTCAGATGCAAGTAGATCTAATGAGAGAAACACACATATCACTGGGAGAAACACACATATCACTGGGAGAAATACACTTATCACTGGTAGAAATACACATATCACTGGGAGAAATACACTTATCACTGGGAAAAATACACTTATCACTGGGAGAAATACACATATCACTGGGAGAAACACACATATCACTGGGAGAAGTACACATATCACTGAGAGAAATTCACTTATCACTGGGAGAAAAATACACATATCACTGGGGGAATAAAATATCACTGGGAGAAACACACACATATCACTGGGAGAAATAAACATATCACTGGGAGAAATAAACATATCACTGGGAGAAATACTCTTATCACTGGGAAAAATACACTTATCACTGGGAAAAATACACTTATCACTGGGAGAAACACACGTATCACTGGGAGAAATACACCTATCACTGGGAGAAATACAGATATCACTGGGAGAAATACAGATATCACTGGGAGAAATACACATATCACTGGGAGAAATACACATATCACTGAGAGAAATACACTTATCACTGGGAGAAACACACTTATCACTGGGAGAAACATACACATATCACTGGGAGAAATAAACATATCACTGGGAGAAATATCCCCATATCACTGGGAGAAATACAGATATCACTGGGGGAATAACATATCACTGGGAGAAACATACACATATCACTGAGAGAAATCCACTTATCACTGGGAGAAACATACACATATCACTGGGAGAAATAAACATATCACTGGGAGAAATATCCCCATATCACTGGGAGAAATACAAATATCACTGAGAGAAATACACTTATCACTGGGAGAAATACGCATATCACTGGGAGAAATACAAATATCACTGGGGGAATAACATATCACTGGGATAAACACACATATCACTGGGAGAAATATACTTTTCACTGGGAGAAATATACACATATCAATGTTAGAAATACACATATCACTGGGAGACATACACTTATCACTGAGAGAAATACACATATCACTGGGCGGAATATACACATATCAATGTTAGAAATACACATATCACTGGGCGGAATATACACATATCAATGTTAGAAATACACAAATCACTGGGGGAATAACATATCACTGGGAGAAACATACAAATATCACTGGGAGAAATACACTTAGCACTGGGAGAAACACACATATATCACTGGGAGAAACACACTTATCACTGGAAGAAACATACACATATCACTGAGAGAAATCCACTTATCACTGGGAGAAACACACTTATCACTGGGAGAAACACACATATCACTGGGAGAAATACACATATCACTGGGAGGAATATACACATATCAATGTTAGAAATACACATATCACTGGGGGAATAACATATCACTGGGAGAAACACACATATCACTGCAGGGAGAAATACACATATCACTGGGAGGAATATACACATATCAATGTTAGAAATACACATATCACTGGGATATGTGATATGCAATGTAGTCAGTAGATGACAAAGATATAACAGACCGTGATGGGAATATCAGACCAATTTTCGTCAATGTTTCCTATAAGAACAAATCACAGAAAAGGACTTTTTATTCTGCACACAGAGCTTAATGTTAGCAAGCTGTTTCCAGTATGATCATGCAATTGGCTACAGCAGGCAAACTCCTGTCAGAGAGTTATCTCCCCTTGATACTTCATTTCACTTACAGCAAATTCATCGGGTGAAACTCGCAATACGTCAAAGACGACTGCATCAAAGCTCTTCATGTGAGGCAGACTTGAGTGTTTGTCCAAGGACTCCTCACTGCCCTGGCTGATTGCCTGAAATGACACAAACATAAACGTAACTGTAGAGTAAACCACTGTAATACATATAATAACAAATTATCTACAAACGTTTGGTATGTGTTCTTGTGTCTCTTAAAAATTTGAATGATATTTAAAGAATTATCAAAATTTCAAATTTCAGTGCATGTGACACAGTCTATATCTGTTGCCTGCTTCAATAAAATTCCTCTCCTATTCAGTAGGACTGGGCACTAATAATAGCCTGCTGATACGTATACACAAACAATAGGCTGTTGATGGCAGATTTATATAAACATCAGACATGTACATATAATACAGAACATATATTACGCATTCACAGTATGTAATCTATAGGTTTCTCAGGTCAGTGATTCAGACCAAATAATTTAGACAAGATGTGTATGGTAATGATATTCAATGAGTTCAAGTAAATGTCTTGTTTGGGTGATATTCCTCCAGTCGTGACCAAACTGACTAAATGTTCCATATGTATCTCCAGGTCAACGTTCCCAATATGTCACCTTATACTGTCATTACAAGTCCTGCTCTACCAGACAATGTCTGCAATCACACGACAAAGCCTGCCATGCATCCTGTATGTGATACAGTTGATCAGATATAAGTATCAAATTGTCTGTTGTTTTCCATTTCACCATCACACAATCTCACCAACCAGTGTGTCAACTTCATGACAGAATTAAATCAAACAGTTTAATTTATTTTTTATCATGGCTTAAGTTTTTGGTTGGCCAAAATAATAAATGCCAACTAGCAGACAGGTCAGCTTGTGTTCCTGACTTCATCCCTATACCATAAAAAATAAGTCAGTCAGCAGACACGAAACAGGCTTAACTGAAGTATATATATATACATCCCATGTTTAATGTTCAGATTGCTATACTTCTTCTCCAGGTGTAAGGAACTTCATCAGTAACAGAGATGCTACAATTATCAAGTTACTGGCACTGCTGATGGAAATGTTAGCTACAGGTAAACACTAATGGAAAGATACAACAGCTGGCATGACCACGGATTCATACCCAGGACCTCAATACCATTTCCTTATTCCAGCGATTTTTAATTAACCTGAAATCCAGCAAACTATGAAAAATAGATGATTTCCTTATATTCCAGTGAAAAAGCTGAAATATTGCAAACTGTTTGAAAACATTAAAACAAACTTCAAACTGACCTATGACTGTGGCCTCCTCTCAAAATTGAGCTCTGACCTCAACATAACTTATTGGGATGCACAACTAGTTGGCTTGCAATTTTTAGAAAATTTTGTCTCAACATTTTACCAATTTTGGCTCCTGTGCACGTGGCTTCAAATGAAGAACAAGATAATATAATTGAACAACATTGACATCCATCCATTCCATCTATCAACATGCCATGTGTGTATATCCTGATCTTATTCCGTCTTTGCGTATTGCAGAGTTACCTTCTCTTGGGGGCAGGTATTGATTGTTACGTCATTGGTTTGTGTGAGAAAATTACGTCGTTTGACTCAAAAATTGATGACGTTACTCTCACAAACAAGTGACGTAACAATCAATACCTGCTCCCAAGAGAAGATAACTCTGCAATATGCAAAGACGAAACAGGCCACAGAAGCTTTAGGAAGAGTTTTATTAAAATTGATCTTCACACTAGAACTGCAATAGTCATTCACTTCTAACTCAAAATTGCTGTCATATACAAAAGAGGTCAGCTACAACAATACAACTCATTAAAGCCAGTTCATATTCATATCATACATTCCCGACAGTATAAATCCCAATCATTCATTCATTATAATTGAATGGGCTCTGTTATAGCATAACTTTAATAAAGTTAATGCTGAACAAAGAGAATACGACTGAATAATCTTCTACCAAACAACAATACATAAGTTGTGCAAGCTAATTCCATGACCTGTGTTATTTAAATTCTTTAACATTACACAATAGAACAAAGACAAAAATAAAAAAAAAAATAAAAAAAATGTATATCATTGTAATTATTCAGATGTAAATTGTGTCCCACTCAAGACAAACATCCTAATCACTCCCACCTTTATATACTGTGATCCTTGTAGAGGAATGTGATGTATGGACATAAACTGTCAAGTATTTATCCCCGGTATAGGTGTGGGCAGATAACACAACAAAACACTTACACAATCTCTGTTATATTTGCCTTTAAAAGACTTTGTGACCTAAACTGAGTGAAAAAGTGAATATTTCTGATGAGTGGCTTAATGATATATATCCGTGAATTAACTGATTTTTTTCCTGACACATTTAATGATTTTAGAAAAAAGAGTGTGTAGTGTGTTTAACAGTAATACTTTGAGGAATATGTTATCTAAGCAGTTGACTGTCTAATAATTAAGTATCCATTCACTGGACGTCTTAATTATATTATAACCACATAGTCCCAGTGTAGCTATATATATAGGCATAACAGCTGATGTTGTCCCCTTTATTATCATTATCACTTACCCTGATCACCTATCCCCAATTAACTGGTCTACCTGAGGTATGTCAAGGTAAAGGTCAGTACTACAGGAACGCTCTACCTGAGGTATGTCAAGGCAAAGGTCAGAGCTACAGGGCATAAGTATGTACACAGTCGGCAATAACATGCACTATAAAGAAAAGGAATGATAATATGTACCTGTCCTTACACTCGGGTTAATCAGGTGAGAGCCCCTATACTTACAGCTAACCTATATAGGTATGTAAAGTATGCCAAAGACATTGTACATTATATCAGGAGGAATGTGTACCTACAGCCATCATACATCTACTATTCACCAACTAAGTACTCCCACATGAAGAACAATATGTAACTGTATGGTAATTGTCCGATATAATTACTCAGTCTATTACGTACTTGAATTAAAAATTCTAACACTTAGTGTTTTCATCATTAGAGTCAATTTGCACATATTATACTTGGCCGATTAGAATATATATATATGAAACACTCATTGGATGTTGATAACTATATATATACTTGTTTCCACATGATCGATAACTATATATATACTTGTTTCCACATAAATTATAAGATCTGGAAATATCATCATCAGGTGGCAGTAAATGATAGTGCTTAGCTGAAAGGTCAAAGGTTATATAAACTGTTTCCAGCAATATTTGCTCTAGTTTTGTCCTTTCTTCCATGCAATTTAACACAGATTATGTTTCTGTCTATCTATATAGCTGGCTGTCTATGGTATATAGGTACAATTGTACCTGATTGCTGGGAATTGATTAGTACCATTAAAGGTGTGCTAGAATTGTTTCATACCAAGTACATTGTACATGTAATTTGGGTATAGGTACCTAAAAATAGGATGTTTTGGTCCTATTTTCAAAGATAAAACATCTGATGAGTCTTAAGAGTGCATGGAATACACATGTACTGAACACAACAAGCAAATTACAGCGAAATCAAACTGACGAAAATATTTTTAAAGTATCAAAACAACTTGTGGCAGGACGGAAAGGTCTTAGTAAACTACTGAAATATCACGTTATCAAAACCACCATGTAATAAAACAGAAGTAACCCATGTTAAGGACTGTGATATATATATGGACTTCCAACCCCCTGTTAAAACTCAATGAGTCAATTATGGTATATAGTCGACACTGACCATCACCCAACATCATGCAGTTACAAATTCAGGCAGGGGTTGTACAAAATTAAAACGTATGATTAATTAGACATCCATCATCAGAAGCTATAAAGGCACAGAAGTACTGTGTAGTAACCATGAGTATCCTTTAGATCTGTCAGATTTAATGTCAATTTAAGACAAACAAAACATTGTAATAAATCAAGCTGTAAGGAACAGGATTAACATGACATAACACTCATCATCTATACATACATTTGATGATGACTTTGAGACACAAACAAGGTGGGAGAGATGTTATGATGTCATGATGACGTTACAACTGGTCATTATAATGCTGTACCTGATTGTTAGGATGTTGTTTCGGTACTAAAACTGCCATCAGCATGCAGTAAAAGATGATTTGATTACAGAACAATAAAACTCATCTGGCTCCTGCGTAAACAAACCAACCTGGCAGATGATGACTATAGGGGCTTAGGTTACCTGTAGATTAGGTGTGGAGGTAGCTGTGAGTGACAGGTTCTATCAGTACACCTGACAGGTACACTACCCTTCTCTGCTGAAATTGACCATTACGTAATTGGTCAGACTATCCTGACTGGACCAGGTAGAATCGCATGCACTTAATTAGTCAGGATCAAAGGTCAAATCACTTTTAATTCAATCAGTTAATGATGATCGAAACTCGTTTAAATAGTGATAACTATATACACGTGATTAGAACTGTGTTCACACCTTTAATTAGTATGACAATAAATGTAAGCGTTAACACATGTATAAGGATAAAATATGTGAGAATAATTCTACTGTCAATTAAGTGACATTAGGAAGCCATACACAAGTCGGTATGCTCCAGTAGACAACCAGGTCTCATTATCATATATATCATATTAACCTACACTAAAAATAGATATCTACTGTTGACATAGTTGAAATATCATTGACAATTCTGTAATGTTTTGGCAATAATCCACGACAATTAACAGTGAGTCACCAAACACATCTTTGATCTACGTGTTCACAAACAAACAACTCATTGCTATCGTAATACAATCTCTGATGAACAGAGTTTATAAACAGATCATTATATCAGCTGACATACAAATTCTACATATGATTCACAAGTTCATATGAACACATCAAATCAATATGTGACATTTTATCATTATACCTTAAAGTGATGCCTCGCATCATGTCCGAAATACTAACATTCCTGACTACTGAGAATGATTTACTATGACATCAAAACTAGACCACTGACATAACTAGACCTCTACCTTACTTAGTTAACAACTGAGTATTTTGTTAGATAAATCATAACGCAATAGCACGGAATTAGATTAGTTATCTAAGTCCGTGGCAATAGCTGTAAAATGGACAGGTATATGTATTGCAAGTTCTGAAGTTTGGTATCTGGTGTGAGCAAACACTGCAATATATAGCTTCTTTCTCAGACCCACCCCATCATGATCATGTATTAGACCACGATTGTGCTGGTAATATATATGTGTGAATAAAGTTGCATGCCTACCTCCATTTCGTCAACCTCCAGCCCCATGTGTAAGGCTCACACGTCCTCTGTCTTGTGTCTATATATTGTACAACCAGTTCAATCTGTATGCCCACAGAATATGGCTATCACACACGTAAATCCATGGCTTTTTTATCACACCTGCATTATTATCCACAAGAAAACAAGCTGGTCAAAGTCAGGTAATCCTTTGTCTAAACATTAGCCATATAGTTTGGAAGTCGTTAAAGCTCACCTACTCCCTTGGCTGGTCCACTTACTTGCCTGTGTACACACGAGGAGGCTTCAGGTAAACCTGTACAGGTACACCGATTGGGTGCGCTCACTCAGCCATGACCAACAAAACAGTCTATTTGGTATTAGCAGCAAAACACTTTTTGGATACATCAATGCAGCTACCCATTTTTTACGGTCACACAATTTCATGTTCAACTTTTTTTCCATCCAGATATTATGTTTTTCTGATACAAATATAAAATGTATAGAAACCTTCAAAATCTGGTCTACACCAGGAAAACACTGAAACACCTACATCTACTGGTGTTTACCTACATATACACAGATAGGAGGAGTACGTGGGTAGATCTCACACAGATGTGTGGGTATAATGAATGGACAGGGATGAGCTCTATATATAGATCAATCAGCTTTGGGAAGTATCCTGATGACCTTATCTTTAGCTCAACTAAAGCCACAACAGGCTAATCAAGGGTCTCCACTTACATCTGGGACCTGATGTCTGTCTCTAGATCTTTTGTTGGCTGATCATTTGAAGGCTTGATTTCAGGTCAAATGTGGAAGCTTTCAAGCTTTCCTTAATTTAAACAAAAGTGTAATGGCTAATATAATTTCATATTATGCTACAAAAAAATAATGTGAGAAATAAGTTTTCTCACTTATAATTATCCAAAATTTATAAAAATTATAAACCTTTGTATTATTTTTTCTATATGCCTTTTTTTTCATAATTGCATGTCTAAGACAAAAATTCAAAACAAGAGCCCACAGTGGGCCGGTACAGCTGACCTGGATTTTTTAATAATAAATAACTAAATATTAATACTAAATATTAATACTAGATATATTTCCCAATTCCATGGGTGAATTTACCCTTCCTTCATGAAATATCTCATTCCCTAATCCCAAGGATATACCATATCTGATTGAAATACAATCAATTAGTCACAAGGAGTATGAAGTTGTAAGNATTGGTAGCCTATGGATGCATGTCTCTATATGGCTCTTATATGTGTGTATATAGTTATAAAGTGAGGATATGGATTGATTTTAAGTCAAAAAGCACTGAGCTAGTACACCAGAAATTGCTCTTGTAGAATATTCAAACACCAACCGTCACATCAGTTTCAAAATTTTGCCTTCAGAGTCACAAAAACGTTTTAAAAAGGAATCTTATATTTTTGAACATGCGTACCATATCAATTTTCACTGGTGTGAAACACATTTACAATAGTGAAAATGTTCAGACCCATTCATGATATAATAAATATTCTCATTGAACAACCATTAAATGTTCTCTATCTCCAACAACAAGAGATTTTTAAGACTCCACAGTGTTTAAAAACGGATCAGTAAAGAAGTGTTTTATACGACACCTAAGTGAGAGGTCAGTCATTGGTCATTCGGCTAGCTCTGCCAACAACAACTGTCAATAATTATACAATGCACACAGTGGCTAATGGCATTTTAAAATTGCAGCTGACATATTTAAACCTACCAGGTAACTATATCCTGCCCTCACTAGATGTAAGCTGTAGTACAGAACTGAATGAGCCTGTAACAATTCTATGTATCCCAAGGTCACACATACCCCAAGATCACCTCCAGGCAAGGCCCACTGTTATTTAAAGCCTGGTCCTGCCTTATACTTACCACCAATTGTTATACAATGGATTAGGAGTTGTCAACAAGTACAGCATGTGGTCAAAAGTTCACGGCTGTATTCATATTAACATTTAATACACGTGGAAAGATTATGTAACAAGCAAATATTAAAAATTTGAAACTATATATACTGGTAACTCGATAAAACATGAACAGGACAGAAATATTTACAGATCACAAAAAAAGCTGTTATACAATTGTTCACCGCGGGGAAACTTTGTTAGGCCAGCATCTGTCACGTTTAACAGATCAGTGCCAGACTTTGTATTCCACAGATCCCATTATATCTCACACAACATCTGTAACACTTTATACTTGGAGTATGATTATGACACAAGATATTGTGACACTGATGGGGTCACTGGTCACTTAGGTAACAGCTTAGAGTGCTGGTATTATCTACATCATCTCCTATAACCCTTCAATTGTTGTCCGGCCACTCGAGGTCATTTTCTGTTCACCCTCTGTTTAAAGATCATTAGGCCACTATCAACATCATCATTGCCTCCAACCCTTTAGGTTGTACTCAAAGTGTATAGGTAAACGTGTTTAGGCATTCTGTATTCCTAAAACAGTTTCTTTGAAGACAGGAAACTTGCGCTGTATTTTTGTCCCTGAGGCCAACACTTGTTGCCTTTCACCTTTGTCAATTATGTACAATCAAGTTTACACTCATAACTGGTTTTTGAATCATTTGTTTGATCATCATTCTCATCTTTAAATTATGTGATGGCCGGGGCAGACACTGTGATTTTGTTTACAATGTTATTGGTGTAGTCATCTCGACAATCTTCCCCACCATGTTACTATGGTTTTCCATAAAATAATATTTACAACACTACCATTTTTCCATTAGTATTAAGCATTATGACATCTATATAATGTTACATCATTATAATGTTTTAGTTGCTCATCCTTATAATATGTTGCTTTTTTATTAGCTCTTACAATTTCTTACTTTGTCCATCTTTGTAATGTTACTTTGTCAATCCTTGTAATGTTACTTTGTCAATCCTTGTAATGTTACTTTGTCCATCCTTGTAATGTTACTTTGTCCATCATTATAATGTTTTAGTTTCCCCATCCTTATAATATGTTGCTTTGTTATTTCTAACAATGTCTACTTTGTCCATTCCCATAATTATAATGTTACTTTGTCCATCTTTAATATCTTACTGTGTCTTTACCAACAAATCCTTTTGTTAATTACAGACTCTGTGAATATATCAGTCATTGATCACTGCAGATACCCTGTGTATTTACTTTTATCACACCTGATGGTGTGGTTATCTAGGTATTGGATCTCTTCTGCAGGTGCTTCAGTTCATATTCAAACTTAACAACCAGCAACAGACAAATAAAGAAATTTAACCTAGGCTGACCACAGGCAATTTTATCTTCCACAATGACGACTCGGGACACTTTTCACCTGTCGAGTTTCACTCGGGTCATTGGTTCTGCCTGTCCTATCTCGTTACCTTAGGTATATGTCATATCTCCAGTTAATTAACACACTTAATGACAAACCCTTAGGTTATACATCAACCTTGGGACACTATATCTGTGAGCTGGACATTAAACTGTAACCTGAGCATCAAACAGCTGTAATAGTCTGACCATTGACTATGCATACAGGTCCAAGTTTACCATTCTATTGTCTTAGCTAGTCCACATGCCTGGTCAGCATACAAGCAATACAAACACTTTTATATTAATATCACTACATCTTATCAATTCATGCAGGCACAGGCTGTTGTTAAAATAAAGTTGAAGAAAGCTACTGATCAGGGTGAAATTATTGAAGAGAGGCCAAGGAAGTGATGCTGTAACTAATAAATTGTAACAGTAATTATGTTAGCATTGGGGCTGTCAGTTGTTAGACAAAGGATGGAGGAAGTGACCACTAGTATTGCCCTTGACACACATGTCCAATTTCTGGGTACTTCAGGGATTGTCTTGACACCAAACATCTATAAGGAGGGTTGCCCAGTCAATAACCACCAATATATTGACACTAACTGCCTTACTTGAGGAAGCTATGCCATTAGGTAGAGTGATGCTCAAAGATAAATACGGAAGGGCATATTTCAGGTTTACTGAGATTGTAATTCAACTGCATGACTATACGAAAGAATGAACATCTACATCATGATCCACACTCCATCAAACAGCCCCAAAACCAACTAAATGATACAGAATTACTATATCCACAAATAAATAGATAACATTGAAATATGAATGTTGTCAACAATGCAATCATTAGGAACACTTTTTAACTTACTGAGATTCACTATAGATGAAGCTTGTAGCTATCTCAGATTACATTGACCTTATATATCACCACATATCTTCTTGTACCGTATAATAACAGGTACATAAGGTAATCAGGACCATCCTATTAGGTATGAACCTGCAGGTATATACTGACACATACTTTGGAATCTGTTTGTAGCTGATTTATATGCATGGCTTTAGTGGTCATTTTAAGGTCACCAGTAAGGTCAGTGCAACATTCCTCAGCAATCAGTTAGCTTCAGGCCTGTTAACACTCACTGACCAGTCACTTGCTAGGTATGGTCACTCATCATATTATCCTCATCAGGCCAGCATGGTAATATATGTCATGTGTGAATGCATTGGCTACTTATATTGACACTGTAGACTGCTGCTGATGTACCCTACCACTGTAAACACAGATCCCTGGACTCCACAGGCTCTGTCACTAGCAAACATTGATGAACACATAAGAGGAAGTGGTCACTGACAGGAATATTATATTCTTTAAAAGAACACAAAAGAGAAGTGTCGAAATAAGTCAAATTCAGAATGCAATTCTGTGAAAAATTTGGTATTGAATTTTGTATGTGGTTGTGTACTTACATCAGCGAAGGAGGACTGTGGTGTGACAAACTCACAGCTGCTGTCACTCTCCAGGGGCTTCCCCAGCGACTTAGAGTCAGGGTCATCAGGCGTGAGGATACGGTGGGGGATGTTCATCTTACTGCTGTCCCACCTACAACAAGGAAAATGTTTCATGTATAAATTGCACAAAGGGGCTTTAACTCTTGCATACCGAATTTGGTGATTGTAGCTGACACTGAGATCATAGGATATACACATGCAGTGAATAAGGGGCCATAACTCTTTATAATATATCATACTAAGGCAAGAGACTCGATTTTAGTTTGTAATATTCTGCATCCCAAGAGGAATGTAAACATGGACAAATTTTGCAATTGTAGGTGACATGGACAAATTTTGCAATTGTAGGTGACATGAAATATATGTTGGACAAAGTGACATAATATATGACTGACACGAGGCGTGCTAGCTAGTCCTCTCCATTTTAAGCTCAGTCTATTAAGACACAGGTAGAAATATTGATATGAATCGGGAACATGAGCAGAGTATATCTATAGCAGCATCCTGGCACACATGTTATCAGAGTTTTGCTGGCTGTCAGAATCTGAAGGGAGCCAGTGTTGTGTGTACCACCCTCCAGACCTCCACAATGTTGACACATCCACTGTATCAATTCTATCAGTGGCACAGACAACCTAGCTTTTACTGACACGACTGTTACTGTATATGCCTATAGTACTTTTCTTTACATGCATGTTGAAGTCAAATGTCATTTTCTTCTCGAAACCCAACAATGATATATGATGTTTTTATCATGGATCAATTCATTTGATGTAATATTGCCCATCCTAGCTGTACATAACCTCGAATTAGGTTAAAGAATAATCGCTGCTTAACTAACTTATCAACCTCAGTATAAGTAGGATGGGATTACCTGAAGGCCTTGTTAGTATAACAGTTGTCAGATTCTACCTCCGCCATACTTCCTTTCAGTTCTGGCAATAGTCCAGTCAGACAATTCAACAATTTAACCCATACTTATAATACGAAACAGAAACAACAGGTACTCCAAGTTTCCTGTATTAGCATCCAACATTGACGGAGCTGTGATCACTACAGGTTGTGGCCTCAGGGTAATGTCACATGACTCGCCCAACCTCTACAAACACTATAGTATATCCTCCACATGAAGCAATCCTAAACACAATTTACTCCAGAGACACCTGTAATAGTTCAGCCAAATCACTGTTATATATACCTGCCGACTAACACTATATACTCCAGAGACACCTGTAATTGACTTGTCCGATTACAGTTGATATGCAGACCAACAGGTGTATAAACACAGGTGAGACAACCGAGTGCACTGACATTCTGATACAGTAATAATATATGATCAGGCTGACCATCCTACAAGTACACATCACTATTTACTTATACACAGCTGGTAAATGTTCTTCAAATGTGAACAAATTTATCAAGGATGTACATAATTAGAGAATGGAAAGAAGGGGGAAACCTAAGTTAAGGCCCGGTCACAACCCACCGTGCATGTTTTTAGTACGTACGTTTTTTGGGGAGGCCAAACGGGGGGGGAGTGGCAATCGCAGGGAGAGAGTACGTCAATGCACGTCACTCGCACGGTTGCGCGAGGTGTAAGTACGAGGCCCGCATGCCACGCCTGGCCGTGAGCGGTTGCGTGCATCGTACGTTGCACACGTGGTAAGTGAGTTGTACGTGCTTACAACTTGCTTACAACGTACGATCTCCGTGCAATTGCCACGTTATCATACGGAGGCCGTCCTTACACGTACGTGCTAAGTGCGCCATCCGTAGAGCAAGTGACCATGGGATTTTTTTTAAAAGACTCACGGAGTCAGTGCGTTGTGCGCTCATTGACTGTAGAAGGCACATGCGTCACCCGTACTGGGGTGAATCCGTAGCCCAACCGCAGCGAAAGTTCCTCATGCACTTATAGTGCTACCGTGTGTCTGCATGCTCCCAAATCCGTACTGAGGCGGTACTCACCACGTACGGATCCCCAAATTTTGCCCACGTTTTTGCAAGTAGACAGCACGCACTTGCAAGTACGGCGGGTTGGGACCACAGCTTTAAAGGGGACACATACATACTTCACCCCATAAGAAACTTTGACATTTTTAGATGATTTTTTGTTTGTTTCAGAACAATTAAGGAATTTAAATATCATGGGAAAAAACAGTAAAAAGGAGGGAATCATCTGAAACAAGAATCCCTGCTTTATTAACGTTTCAGGTGAAACTATCTTGAATACAAAGAACAATAGACAATACCTTAAACTTAAAAATACATTGATTATAAGTTATATACCAAAAAATATATATATATAATAACATTATAAGTTATTTCCTTTTGTGTTAATTCCCTTTTTTCTAAACTAAAAAACATTTACCGTATGAAGGTGTGAGAAGGCTACTCTATACAGCACCATTAAACATCTTGATATCGCAGCTCTCCCAAGTGCAAATCCATTTAAAATCCTACTTAAAGGAATTTCATCAAACAGCTTTCACATTATCAGCATCAAAATTGAGCACTTCACGTTAAAATACTAATCATATTTAAGTGCTAGGGAATGAATATGACAACTGGTGACATTTGAAATGACCCAAATTAGTGAAATTACAAGTGAAATTACCGTTTTAGTTCTGACATCTACATCTGTGAGATGTCAAAGCTATAATCACAGTGGTATAACTCTGATGGTCGTGTTAATAGAACTTTGTTTATTATTACCTCTACACTACACTGTGTCTGTGTGTGTGTGTGTGTGTATATATTTATGCTTTTAGACCAAAAAACACTCAAGTAGAGCTACTAGCATTCTCCCAAAATACGAAAACATCAGCTACATTCAAACATAAAAATATATAAGTAAATAATGTTATAATATCAGTGTGAAGAGTATGGAATAACTTAATCATTAATGTCTGATAGTGATCTTGCTAAAATCTGCAGCAATACATCGCACAAGAATCACGCAACAATGCCTCATCTTACCAAAAATCTTACATCTATATATCCCTTAACTCCCCCAAATTTGATACATACTTCGACCCTGCTCCACAGGATCGATGCCACATATACCCATCCCCTCAAGACTCATACAGTATATATCTCTTTAAATATACCCTCCACAATATTCACACACACAGCATCCCCTTACAGAATATAGTGCTACATATATTATACTTTTTGGCAGTCACAAAAACTGCATCATAAACTAATTAAAGTCATTATGTGCGAATCCCTGTGACAAGTTGATGGGTAATGATGGAAAAGTAAACTTGACATTGGAGATATCTGGTGTAAGTAAACACTGTGGTGATAACTCTATACAGTTTTACAGAAGATACCAGGATACCTGATCAGGACACATATCCCCCCTCCCAATATGAATTTTGTAGGTTAGTTTTGGCTAAATCAGACAGATTTTAAAATATTACAGATTTTTGTTGTTCAAGTCTCTCCCATTAAGGTGTGGCAGGCCATGTTATATGGTGGTAAAAACACAACATTCCTGTTAGATAAGAATGTCCACTTTATCAGTTGCCCAACCTAATACTGGTCTATGAGGGGGGCTCTGTACACACTCAGACTGACCCGCAGTCCCTTATCACCAGACACCATTATATATAACATATATCTTTGACCTGATACCAGACTGAGGATGGCACTGACCTGAGCATTACAGACAGCTGAATCAAGCTGATATTGGATCATACAGAGAATGGCTTCCAATTCATAAAACATTATCATGCTTTTCTTGTCATAAACAATTAGCAAGAAGCCCTGGCAGTAGATACGTATTACTGATCTGTTAATACCTAATGGTGTTGGCAACAATAAAGTTATAGAGGAAATGATAATTTAAATAAATTGAGAGACTAAATATATTGCAATCATTTTAGATTTATAACTTTGACTGGTAGTGTTGAACGGCTGTTAAACGATGACGTAGGTGGTCACGTGGTCAGTTTTGAAAGTATATATCGTTGAATACATTATGTAACTAGTCAGAAAATAGTCATCCTAGCAAGGAACCAATGTTAGCATCTATGGGCCGAATTTTCTGAGTAGATAAGTCAATCATATACACAACCTTAGCTTTTAACAGCCGTTCAACACTACCATTCAAATATCATTACTCTATTCAAATGTTTCATAAAAAGGAACATATATTAAAATTTAGTGTTTTTTGTTGAACCGATGTTTAGTCAGTCCCCGTGGCTTGCCTAGTAATGGGAATTAGCTGGTATTCCATGATCAATGATTGCATATGATCGGTTGATTTAATTTAATCAAATGATTAAGAAGGCATACACAATACTCAAATTTGTAAAAGGAATGCCCAAGGCAAACATTTGTGTGAAGTTCCATGAAAATCACTCCTGAAGTATCATAATGGCCACTTCAGTAATGACAAAAGGTGTATTATATATGACAGCATTATTTATTCCATATAACACACCATTCTGTATATAAGGACGCAGAAGAATGACAGTATAATCTAAACAATTCCACATAGAATCTATTATTAATTCAATAACCCTGGAATGTTTATAAGGCTTCCACATCTGGATGGTGAAACATAAAGAAGTGGCTTCACCTTGTTAGACCAGGTGTGTCAGTGATCCTTTATGCTTCGTTAACGACTATCTCTCACCTTGTTTAAACACCACCATAACAATGCTGAGATGAAAGGCAGTGATATCTCATTGTTTAGTCATGTTGTTAACACAGTCCAATGTGTTGACTTAGGTAATAGGATTGTGACACCATTTCTCAGTAAATTTTTTTTCAAATTTTGTAGTTATATTGCTATGAAATAAAGAAAAACTTCTGCCACCAAAAAAATATAGATTGGCAGAATTTTAAGGATTATAAATGGAAACTTATGTAAAAGGGAGTGAATTTTGAAAAAAAAATGAGACAATTTTTTGCAAAATTATCATGTCAATAAAAATGATACTGCCATAGATTAGTATTGCATTAATGTATATCTATTTAATAAATGCTAAAATTGTGTAAAATAAATTATCTATAAACGATTAAAAAGTGACGACACTTTATAATAAAACCATAATGACATAGCAATTGAATGGACGAGTT